GTTTCTATAAATTCTAAAAATACCCCACACTTCGTTTATTTAGCGGGTGCATACCAAACCCCCTGAGGGATCCAGGACTGAGGAAGAATTAAAGGGCGCAGAAGGAGACTCTGCGAGGCTAAGGCAGCTCCCCGGAGCCCGGTCACCTCCGCGCAGGTGTCCGCACAGCTGTGTCTCCTGCAGACTCGGACTGCAGACGGACGGCGCCCAGGAGCGCAGCCGCTGGCAGCATGGTCACTGCTGGAGGAGCCGGAGCGTCCAGTCTCTCGGACACGCTGCGCGGTCCTTCCTCCTCATACCCCAGCTTCTGCCCTGCTGCTGGCCTCCTCCCCTCTCTCCCTCTGGGACCTTCCTCTGTGGCCGGTGGAAAACTCAGAAGTCCTCTCCCTTCACCATGACCGTGATGCCACCCCATTTGGTTCCCTGCACCCGGCAGCCCTGTCTGAACTTGCACACTCTGTGTCCTTGGATCCTCGGCAGGTCTGATGTGGGGCCTGAGAATCTGTATTGCAGCGAGTCCTCCAAAGCTGCTGATGCTCCCGGGGACCCACCCGAGGACCCTCTAAGGACCACTGTTTAAGGGCATCTACCAAGCTTTGCTAGCAATAAAGTCACCCACTCCTGCTGGCCCTACCTCTAGCCACACAAAGGGAGAACTGAAGGTTGCCCTCTAGCTCAGCCCTGGCTGTGCATGAGTGATCCCCCTCCAGAGCATTCCTGCAGGGAGGATTCCGGCCCCATTTCCTGACGTTCAACTGTTCACACGCTCCATCCCTCGCCTCTCAGGCCCCAGCGTGAGACAGTGTGAGTGCTCCCTGTGTGGGCATCACAGAGGATTCAACCCACACAGTCTTCACCGCAGCAAACTCTCACCCTGTTCCCTTCTTCAAAGGACAGCGGAGATCTGGGTCAGAACCCTGTCCTTGCTCTCCAGTCAGGCCAGGCTGCCCAGAAGGTCTGTCTTGCTTTCTCCAGAGACTTCAGCGATGCAAGCACATTGTGGCAAAGTCTCATCTGAACCAATCTTTGGATGGGGAACCATAACAAATCCCTTACAGCTTGGAGAGTTTTCTCTTTTCCTTACACTGAATCAACCTAATCAAAACCATACCATGCGACTATCTGAGTAGAATTCAAAGTTTATTCGTGGAGTATGTGCTCATCCATCCAAATGCTGCTGGGTAGAGACATTACAGGAATAAGATTAGAAATGAGGATTTTGGAAATTCATACTTGGTCAAAAGAACACTGTGAGATACTAATATCAGTTATAAACTTAGACAAAGAGCGTGAGGACCAAACCTCACACAAAGACACGGGGCTTCAAATCATTATTTCAGGACCCCGTTTTTAAAAAATAAGCAGACAAATGAAACACCAGACATCCGAGTAAAGTGAGATCAGAAAAAGGCAACTTATAGATGCAAAACAAATGGAAAACACTCTTCAAACAATAACATTAATACCTTCAAAAAGAGGTGGTTTCTTTAGTGCTTGAAGCAAAAATAAGGCACTATTTAAAATATGCACGGTAAAAAATTCACTGAGAAATCCAAAATGTGGTAATAGAAATGAAAATATCTCTCTCTGTCTTTTTTTTTTTTTTAATTTGCAGTACCAGGGATTGAACTCACAACTTCACGCTTGCCAGGCAGGCACTTGTACAGCTGAGCTAAATCCCCGGCCCTCAAAAATCTCAATAAAAGGAGAAATCTTTAGAAACCAAAAAGACAAGAAAGTGGAGAAGAGATATGGAAGATATAAAATTAGAAAATTTCAGTAGGATAATGGGGGAAGCAAAACAAATCAAAATATAACGCAAGACAATTTCCCATAATACAAAGTTTTTATACTGAAAGGCACACAAAAATCCAAGAGCAGCAGATGAATAGCAACCTCCAGAACCTTCATTGTGAAATTTCAGAAAATAGACAAGAGCCTAAAAGCTTCATTGATTTATTTTTTTTCACAAAAGACCAAGAATAATGATAGCATTGCACCACTCAGCAACTACTCTGGCAACCAGAAGTCAAAATTCTGAGGGAAAAAATTTTAACCTATAATTCTATATCTATATCTACAAACTATTGATTAAATGTCAGAGTAAAACACTTGCTGACAATGTAATATCAGTGGAGTAGAGGGGACTTTTCTATAATCCCACTGTATCTCTCATTACTGAGACGAAATATCTGAGACTCGATATTAATTTATTTTTTCTCTCATTGCTAAGACAAAATACCTGAGACCCAGTTTATTTCGCTCACACTTTATATGGAGGTTTCAGTTCATAACCAGCTGGCTCCAAGGCAGTGTGGGGTAGCATTCGTCATGGCAGAAGGTACAAAGGCAACAAGACATAAGGAAAGAGAGAGAGGAGCCAGCCCCGTTCAGTCCTTACACAGTAGGCAGGTTACTGCCCTCAGGTGGGTGGGGCACTCACAGCCCCAACCCCAGCAGTAGACAATGAACCAATCACGGACTCTAGACTCAGCCACCTGCAAGAAGCCCACACCATCCATGACTGCATGAGGCTTTGGGGGACATCCAGCCATAAGCCATAACACTCTTCATCAGAAAATTACCAAAGGATATGTTTTACCAAAACAAAGGAGTCAGTCAGGAAACCAGAAAACAAAGGACCAAAAGTCATGTGATATTATTCAAGAAAGAGGCTCAGGAAATCTGTAGGAAGAACAATATACAGACTCTACAAGGGGAAAACTGCACGCAGGACTTGAGAGCACATGGAGAGTTTAGAACAAGCTGGAAGGCACCAGGAAGGCGCTCACTGTGACGTCATGCACCTCCATGTGACTTATTACATTGGGGTAACTGACGGGGAATTTCAGGTTGACTTGATGACAAGCACATAAGACAACCAAGTAAAGAACAAGTACTAACTACAAGTAAAATGAAGCATTTCACAAGAGAAAAAAAAGCAAGCACAGTATACCTCACGGATCATCTGTGAATAGCGTTTTATAGTCAAATAATATTACGTGTTTATGTAGACAAAATTGTGTTATTTCTTTATTGAGAGCTTGGGAGAGGGCAAGAAACAAATGTGTACAGGACAGCAAAAGGTAGAGCAAGCAAGGCTGTCAAGCAATACTGTATAATTAACAGCACAGGCACGGATCATAGCAAAGCTGAACCACAGAAGTAACAATAGCAGTCTGCTCTAAAGGGATGGAAATAGCCGTAAAATTAATAACTCTACTAGTTGAAAGGAGTTCCTGCAGAAAAATGGAAATTTGGAGGAGCAGATACACAGATGTCAAACAGATTGCTACTTTCATTAAAATCCTACTCGTTTCTCTTTACTTAAAACCGCATTCATTTGTAACATTAAAGCATTTGAACTGGGCATGGTGGCTCACAGTTGTAATCCAGCACTCGGGAAACTGAGGCATGAGGATAGTTGCAAGTTCGAGGCCAATCTGGGTTACATAAGCCAATTGAAGGCCAGCCTGTTCCACATGGCAAGACTCTGCCTTAAATAAACAAATAAATAGCATTTATAATCATTTAACTTATTCAATAAAACTTATAATTTTCTTATTACTATCTATACCCTTCCCACAAAGAATTTGAGGTGATATATCAAAAGAGTATACAGCAGAAGGATAAAGATGGATACAGAAGAAAATCAAAAGAGAGGAATGAGTTCCTTAAATTTCAAATTCATGGTAACACTTTGTTCATGGTAACACTTTGTTTCCCCAATTGGAAGAAATGAAAATGTTACCAACTATCCTGATTTTGTTGGAGTGTTTCTTTAATGTTGCTTTGTTTTTGTGGAAAAAAGTGAAGGAATGGCCCACAGGTGTTCTCTGCCTCCTGGAGCTAAGAACTATCAGGTAGAGAACTGTTTCTCACTCACAATTTGGAGCTAATCTACTTTCCAAAAGCCAATCCATCTCCTTAATGTTTACAAATAGTCTGTTTCTCCCCAAGGAAAACCACACAAAATAGAGTTGGATATCTGGGGCCTGGTTCCTCTGAGAGCTGACATGTTCTCATCTGGGGTGTTTTCTGTTTGTCTAAATGTAGGAAATTGGTAAGGGCTTATGTTTTTATTTTGAAGCAATATTCAAGTGACCAGTAGATATAACTAGTTCTTAACATGGTCCATGTCTGTACTTTCTAGTTTTTACATTTGTTATCAAGAAGCATAAAAATCTGCAAAACACCCCAAGTGATGAATCTGGATACCAAAGTTCTTGGTTGGTTTGGTTGGTTGGTTGGTTGTTGGTTGGTTGTTTTAAGGTGTTTTGTTTTGTTTTGTTTTCTAGCACTCATAGCCAGATAGACATAATTTACCTTAAAAGAAAATTCAACAAAATGTTGGCAAAGTTGTTTTACTTAGGTGAGATCACACTGGCTTAGAAAAGAGAGAAGAGCAGAGATGGAGGACGGGGAGGATGAGTGAGAGCTCTGACCGGGAGGCCCGGTGGCCCTGTCCGCAGGACTGCAGCTGTGGGGAGGCTGGACAAGTGTGTATGTGGACCTCAGCATCGCGGGGGCTGCACTGAGCACCAGAGGTGTGTGCAGAGCACGAAGACAGTGAGCCCCAGACTGGGGTCTCAAGAAATGGAAAAGCTAAAGGCCAGGACACCCGAGGAGCCGGAAACAGGACCAGGCGGGCTCCTCCGGGTTCATGAACGCAGGCTCGCAGCTGTTCTGAGCACAGTGACAAACACTGTCTGGAGCCAGAGACCTGCAGCCGCGGGCCCCTGTTCTGCCTGCGATTTTCTTCCCCAGGCGAGGACCCAAAGACAGTACAGCAATAGCAGGGTTTGTTGGTTTTAGGCTCACCCAGGGGAGTGAGAGGAGAGAAAAGCAGACAAGACAATGAAGCTGTTTTCCAAACTATGACTGTGGCCATCCAGCCAGGAACCTAGTGGAGAGGAACACAGTGAAATGTAAGAGGACCCACAGACATTTCAAAGTGGTCTCGGGTTAAATATCTTTTGCATATTTGTACTTTTTCTCAGGGTTAGTCTCTAAAAGCAGAATTGTTAGACGAAAAGGTACGAATTCGTACAGCTCCTGATGCTGATTCCCAAAGCTTTCCGAAAGCCGGAGCCATCCAAAACCTCTCATCAGAGTACAGCACTGCCTTTCCCAGAAACGCTGAGGCAGATCCACCCTGACCCACAGGACTGCTGAGCACTGAGGCTGTGTCACACTAAAACTGAGTGAGTCACCTCCTGTCCCCCTGCCTCTCCTTCCCATGGTTCCTCTTTCCTAATGTTTTTGCTTTTCAGTCCACATGAATTAACCTTTCCCACAATGAGTAATTCTGCTTCAATTCAGTCCTTTAAGTGACTGTATTTCATTCAAGAGAAAATTTGAGCAATTTTTTAATGATACCCACAAAAAAATTTAAAAGTCAATTGAAAGTAGCTATAAATTTAATGAAGAAGTAATTCAAGATGATGTTTAATTCTCTTTCCTTGTAGCTAATTTAAGTCATCACTTCTGGAAGGGCCCTGAGGACTTCTGCTGAGGTCTTCATGTCCAGAGCTCATTCCTAAGTGAGAGGGACAAGACAACGTGTGAGCGGTCCACACAGGGATTTCCAAAACGTTTTTATAAAACACGGTATCTCAGGAAACACATCCCATCAGTAATTAAATTCCAGCCAAAGCTACCGTCTTCTGAGCTAGCTCTGGTCTTGCTGTCCTCACAGTGGACAAAGGTTGCAGAGCGACAAGAAAGAGTTCCTGGTGTGAAGGAAATAGGAAATCGATAATCTCATCGTAGATGTTACTGAGCCTAAGAAAATTTTGTTTTTGAAAACTAAGTAGCTAGTAGTTACTAAATATATAATAAATAGCTCCAGTGCAATCGATTGTCAGTCATCTCAGTTAAACCGTGTATTTAAAGGCATACACTGCACCCATTTCTGCACGTGCACACACATGCACAGGCACACACTGTGCACACACACACACATCTGACGATGTCTACTGACACAGGTTACCGTCTACAGGTATGCTTCTTGCAGCATAATGATGACACTTTCTGAACACCAAATTGCCTTGCCTTTAACAGGTGCCGTGTTGCCTGGGTTGAAAGTCACCCTGTCTCCAGAGATGTTCCACTGCCTCCTGCAGTCTGGCTGCCAGAAGAAACCACAGATCTCTCTCTTGGTCACAAACAAAATGTTTTCTTTCTCTGAGCTTCATGGATTTCCCATGAAAAACTTCCCAGAGTTCAGTCTTGGCTATGGACTCCAGTGGGCAGGACTGGCTCCTGGTGAGCTTGTAAGGGAAAATAAGTGATATATATAGCTTTTAAAGCTGTAAGTAATTTAAAAATATATCAACCACCCTGCTGGTGACCGATACTCTAAGACACCAGGAGCATCTTCCCTAGATGATTTTCACTCTTGGGGTTTCAGTCTTGCCCTCCCCACGTTCCCAGCATGCCACCCTCCTCAAGGGCTTTCCTTCCATCACTTCACCCCACTGCGAGGAAAATGCCTCAGCGTACCCTCCAGCTCAACAGTTTAATTGCTGTTTTTAATTTAGATGAGAAGGCAAACTGCTTAGAAACAGAAATAATTAGTCCATAAAACCACTTGAATAGGCACTGATTTGGGGTAATTTTCCTGGCTCTAATTGTAAAAAATTTAAACCTATATTTGCCAAAAATGGCAAGCAATCTACTACAACTGTCAGTAAACAAGCTTTTAAAGCTAGATAATGCTGAGAATCATGAAAACGGTGTCATCAAGCCCTGGGAAGTTCAGGCACGGAGGATACATCCAGACACTACCACAAGGAACCATCTTGCTTCCAAGCAGCCTTCCTCCAGCTGAAGAAATGATGCCCTGATGAAGCGGCTCTCGACACTCACTGAGATATCTACTGACATAGAGGGCTCATGAGCAAGAGCAAGCATCCAGGTTCGGATGCTGCAGCCCAGCCCTCTAGCATCTGCACGGCACTGTCCGGTGCTTAGTCACCAGTATAGTCCCCTACCAAACTCCAGGACAAACTCAGGTGTTGTAAAGTTCAAATTAAACTTTTTCAAGCACAATGGGTATCAATAGTGTTTTGCTTCTGCGTACAAATAGTTAATTATGGGAGACCTGGCCAAGATCCCCAATGTTCCTAATGAGTGTACAGCAAAGGCTTAAATAAATGAGACAAACCATGATTTCAGGGCTCTAGGTGGGTGAAAACCCGCCTGCAAAGTTTGAGACTCTGAGGGCTGAGACAAAGAGCTTCTCTGGGTGGCCCACATTTATTAGGTTTTCAGACAAAGAGAGGGGACACTGAGGAAAGTGCAGGAACTTGGGAGTCACTTAGAAGCCTTCTCCAAGTGGTAAATTATGCCAATTTAGGAGAACCATCTTATCTCCATGATGACATTCATAGTGGGAATGAGACTACAGGAGCAAGATGCTTACAGCTGAAGTCTCCCTCTAGTTAATTGGGGTTGGAGCCAGGCATCCTTAGCTGTGGCCTTGCCTTGTCCTTTGAGATATCTTTGGCCTCACAGGCCACTACAGGCCTCAGCCAGGACCACTGATTCACAGAGGTCCACTTACTATGAATCTGCTGTCCATCCCTAGGCAAGGGGCCGAGACCTGGGACAGACTCATAGATAAACATAGAAAACCAATTAGTTAATTTTAAATCCTGCTCAGAGCCGCTTCATAATAGTCTGCATCAGTCAATGATGCTTTTATTTCACTGACACTCCACAAACATAAGTTAATTAACTGACATCCTTCACCTCTCCACTTTCTTCATAATTCTGAGAACGGAAAAGCCCATTAACAGGTCCACATGTAGGCGAGTACAACTTCATGTTACCATGGAAACACAGTATCAAACACAAAGGTTCCCAGAGCCAAGAGGACTGGAGGACCTGCCCCTGAGGGAGAAGTGGCCTTGCAGTGTGAGCACCTCACATCACACTTCTCCAAACCAGAACTAGCAGTGTGCTCCCAGGGGTCCCTCATTACACAGCAGCAAAGAGAAAGCCCCATCACTATTATTTCTTGCAGAGGAAATAGAGTCTGACATCTCATGGGGGTTCTCTGTCTCTGCAGCTCTTTGCTGCTGACTGATTCATCCTGCCTTCCGGTTTTCATTAGGTAACCTAACTTGGTCCACACATGACCAGGAAAAGTTCCTCTTGCTGTAATGAGTTCCTGTGGGAACCCAGCGAGGTGGCTCTCAGGAGCTTACAGAAGCCTCTCGTCCCATCCGTGCCTGACAGGAAAGGCAGAGAAGATGAGCAGCTTCCTCTCTAATTGACCCTGCGTGGAGTGTTACTGCCAGAGCTGCTGCTGGGCTGGTGGCGAGAGGCGGTCAGAGTACTCACAAGGAAGCACCCATTAAAGCAGGGTGCAAATGCCCAGTGTCCCTGACACAGAAAGGGACAAGAAACAGGGAAAGGAGAGCAATTCATTAATCAAAATAATCACTCTGCCATTGTTCACATGTCACTTTCCTGAAATGTTCTTTCATTAATGGCCATTAATTCACTGAATTATATTTGTAAAATTCTTGGAATTACAGCATGCCCTACAGGCACCAAAAACACCTCTCCAGACCCTCAGGATGTTGGTGGCATCTCTTTCGCTCAGCTGGAAGGCACTGAGGGGTAACTGCATGCAGACCCTGCCACCCCGCACTGACCCAGGAGTAAGAAGGCCAAGCAGAGACATGCAGAGCTGCCCATCCTACACTAGCGCAGGCTCTCCAGCAAATGGGGCTCCACTGGTAACTCTCAGCTACAGATTTACATGAATTAACGCAAAATGAAGCCTGGCTTGCAGCAGCAACACTCCAGAAATTCATGCAGACAATGAGAACAAACAAACATAAGGTGACTGCCGTGAGACCCTTGGTGAAGCCTGGAACACTGGCCTTTCCCAATGAGCGCGCCACACCCAGGCTGTGCCCCATGAGCCTGCTCCAGGGTCTCTGCACGCTGCAGCCTGTGCTTCTCGATTACTCGCCTTTGGACACAGATAAAATTCCACTCTGGGAGATGGACCCAGCCTCACAGTTTTTAAACTGAAGATCGCAGACACCTTCCTGTGTCTTTTTTTCGAAGGTGGTAAAAATACAACAGTACAAGGCAGAACGTAGCCAATTGAGACAATGCAGTGAAATTGGTACAGAACTTCACGGCAGGATACCCGGATAACAGTAACAGGTACCATAGGATATCTTGTTATCTTCACAGTAGTTGTCCAGTCAATTCGGTATAACGAAATCAAACCAAAAACAGAACATTGTAAAACCAATCAAAAGAGAATATTGAATAGAGTAAAACAATTAATCATGATGAAACAAAACAGTGAGTACATTTGCCTTCAAACAGAAGATAGAAGGAAATCCTTCATATTTGCTGTATTGCATACGGTCATCCTCCCAAGAGATGCTCAGACCCCTGTCCCCAGGTGCGCCAGTAGGGCTCTCGGGAGCTGCCAACTGGGTCTCCTCCTGGCTCGCACTAGAGGGACTGGGAGTGTTTTTTTGAGACAACACATTTCAAAGAATTTTCAAGTTGCTTTCATCTCAAAGTCACTGAAAATTTTTAAGACTGTGCCTACCAACTTGTTAATAGTCTGCCCCTTCTTCCCTCCCACCCAAGCTGGTATCTACCTGTATGAACACGTTGGTACTCAGGGAAGGTCAGATACCCCCACAAATGAAGGCTCCCTCATACGATAAAAAGGCAGGAGAACTGTGCTGTCTCTCAGGTCATAAGAACTGGAGCATTCAGTGTAAAAAAATATGTAATCTAGCCCTCCAAACACACCTTGCTCTTATCAAATTTTTAAGTTTTGTATTTTGTACTAAAGCAAATGACAGATCTGTAATGAAGGCATTTCTTTTTAAGGACAAAACAACGACATTATCACTCGATAATGACTCATGATGGCCCGTCCCCTTCTAAGTCCAAGAATCAATGTGCTACACACCTGCCTTTGTCTCCACAGTTACCGTAGCCATCTGCAAACTAATGTGGGCAGATCAAGCTGTCTGTCCCTTTAATGTCACTCAGCAGCATTGAGCTCAGTGGAACTATTGAGTGCACAGCCTGAAAACAAGCTGCCTGCATTTAAGCCTCAGCTCCGATATTTAAGAGCTAAGTGGCCTGTGTGTGTCAGTTTCTCTTCTATAAACCAGATGACGTCATGTGGGACCTGGCTCTGGTAATAAAATGAGCTTAATTCTTGGGAAACACTTAGACTCTGCCCTGAAAATCAGAAACTCTTTATAAGTGTGACTGTTTTCCATTTTACACAGTATTGTTTATATAATTAGCTGATTTCATTTTAGTTTTATAATCATAAGTATAGGTGACTGTATAACTCAAGAAAGAGCACAAAACAAGCTTTATGTTGGTCTATAGTCATTAAATCACAACACGGCATGGTCAATACGGGTGAAAGTGTGTTTATTTTTTAAAGATTTGCAAATACCACTCAAGTCTAAGAAATCTTTTTCCAGATGTTTCTCAGCCCACAAACCTCCCGGGGTGCATGTGAAGGCAGCGTGTCCAAGTGGGGGGTGCAGTCATTTTCCTACAAGAGATAAACTTACTGGGCACAAACTAAGAATTTCTCAGCCAACTTCATCTTGATACCCCCCACATTAAAGCAGTAATGGCACCTCCCATCCACTGCGATTTTGAAGTGGGGGTCACTGAAGGAAGTACCCCAGCTTCCAATAGGAAAGAGTCTAACAGATTCTGAAAGTCAGGCTTCTGCCACTTTCCACCCCCTGAAAAGAAATCAGGAGAAGCCAACACCTGGAGGCAGAATCTCAGTGTTTCGGAAGGGATTCCGGCCAGCTGACCTCTGAATCTTCTGGCCCCTTCTCTGTCTGGCCTGGCCTGGCCTGACTCCCTCTATGTGGAGGGGGACCCCAGGGGAAGCTCGCCCACCACCTCAGACCCCACCTGCTAAGCAGTAGCAGCAGAATGCTAGAGCAGCATCTGAGAAAACAGGAATTCTGAAAACTGATAGGAAAAGTAATATATCCAGACTAAAAACACAGTTTTTAAGAGCATGACCCCCTGAGCTGGCAGGTGAACTGGACGGAAGGCAGAGCCAGAAACCAGAGGAGCTTCCTCCTCCATGCAAACCATCACAGGAAGAGGCCTCTTCCCCTAGCAAAGCAGAGGCTCCCGGAGAGTTTGCAAGA